TTACTGTAGAGATGAGGTCTCACTGCCCAGGCGGGTCTCGAACCCATGGGCTCAAGCAATTCACTCACCTCAACCTCCCAAAGGCGCGGGATTACAGGCTGAGCCACCGAGCCCGGCTAAATATACTTTTTTTTAATGCTTCTTCCGCCTCAGCCTTCCAAGTACCCGGAACTACAGGTGTGCACTACCACACCCGGCTAATTTTTTATTTATTGTAGAGACGCAGCCTTGCCGAGTGGCCCGGGCTGGTCTCGAACCCGCAGGCTCAGGCAATTCACTCCCCTCGGCCTCTCAAAGTGCTGGGATTACAGGCTGAACCACCGAGCCTGGCCAAGAACCAAAAATACTTTCATGGGCCCCTAAAAGCATCATGGACCCTAGGTATTGCACCGTCTGTGCCCAATGCATATAGCTGGGGGACTTTAAAAAATGCATCAAGGCTGGGCAAGGTGGCTCATGCCTGTAATCCCAACACTTTGGGAGGTGGAGGCGAGATTTCCTGAGCCCAGGGGTTTGAGACCAGCCTGGGCAACTTGGTGAGACCTCATCTACACAATAAATCAAAAAATTAGCCGAGCATGGTGGTGCACAACTGTGGTTCCAGCTACTTGGAAGGCTGAGGTGGAAGGATCGCCTGAGCCCAGCAGGTCAAGGCTGCAGTGGCTGTGAGCCTGCCACTGCCCTCCAGCCTGGGTGACAGAGTGAGACTCCAACTCAAAAAAAAAAAAACGCACTGAAGCTAGGTGCGGTTCACACCTGTAACCCCAGCACTCTGGGAGGCGGAGGAGAGAAGATTGCCTGAGCCCATGGGTTTGAGACCAGCCTAGGCAACATGGCAAGACCTCATCCCTACAATAAATTTAAAAATTAGCTGGGCATGGTGGCATGCGCCTGTAGTTCCAGCTACTAGGAAGACTGAAGTGGAAGGATCGCCTGAGTCCAGCAGGTCGAGGCTGTGGCAGCTGTGAGTGTGCCACTGCACTCCAGCCTGGGCAACAGAGTAAGACTCCAACTCAAAAAAAAATGCATTGAATTTATGTTTTTTATTTATTTTATTTTATTTTTATTTTTATTATTATTTTTTTTTGAGTCGGAGTCTCACTCTGTCGCCCAGACGGAAGTGCAGTGGCCGCTCCTGGCCACCGCAGCCTCGACCTGCTGGGCTCCAGCGATCCTTCTGCCTCAGCCTTCCCAGTAGCCGGAACTACAGGCGCGTGCTACCACGCCCAGCTAATTTTTGATTTATTGTAGAGATGAGGTCTCGCCAAGTTGCCCAGGTGGGTCTCGAACCCGCAGGCTCAGGCAATCCACTCACCTCAGCCTCCCAAAGCGCTGGGATTACAGGTTAAGCCACTGAGCCCGGCCGAATTTATGTTTTTTAAAAACATAAACACACAGAGTTTCTCAGAAAAGACACATGAGAAACTATAAATGGTGTTTGACTCTAGGCAGGAAAATTGGGTGGCCAGGAGAGAGGAGTGGGAGGGGGACTTTTTAACCATACACCCTTTTGTACCTTTGGAATTTTGTACCATGTGAATGAATTACTTATTCATAAAAATGAATAAATAACCATTTGAATGGGTGGAGAGTCATTCCAAAGCAACAGGAGACTGTTCAACCAAGGTGGAAAAACATGAGCTTTGGAGTCAGAGCACAGGGTTTGATCCCAACTTCACAGCTTCCAAGCGCTTGATGGGAAAAGTGAGGAGCCCTGGAGAACAGAGAGCCTTGTCACCAAAGGCCTTTGGCTAACTCACTCCACTTCTCTGAGCCTCAGTGTCCTGTTCCCTGTAATGGGGATAATAATACCTCCCTTGAAGAGCACGCAAGGGGATCAGGAGTGACATAGGTAAAAGTGCCCCCCATGGCACCTAACCCAAGGCAGGCACTTCCCAAATATCACTTCCTTCCCTCCCCCTCTCCGGCCAGCTGTCTAAATGTGGGACAGTGGCAGGGACTGTGAATGGCCTCTTTCTCTGGTCAGCACTTGTTTATTCAGGCTACCTCTCTCACTCTGTCCCTATACTGTCTCGCCCAGGCAGCTGCCTGGCATTTCTGGGAAATTGAGGCTCAAGCTACTCCAGAGATTACAGGTCTTATCACCCGCAGGGAAACTGAGGCCAAAAACAAAACACCTTAAGGTTCAGAGAACAATGAAAGGCTGCCAAGCTTCATACCTTGGAAATAAACGTATCAGAAATACTACTCAAAGGGTGACCCACGCAGTTTAGAGAAAAAGACCGTGGCCAGCTCCGGCCAATTTTAGATCCACCAATAAACATTTAGTGAGCTCCTACATTTAGTGTGCAACTCCCTAACTCTTAGTTTCTCAAAGAAGTTTAGACTGGGGGCTGGGCGCAGTGGCTCAAGCCTGTAATCTCAGCATTTCGGGAGCCCCTCCGCTACACACAGCGAGAGGATTGCCTGAGCCTAGCAGTTTGAGACCAGCCTTGGCAACTTGGTGAGAACTCATCTCTACAACAAATCAAAAAATTAGCCAGGCATGGTGGCACGTGCCTGTAGTTCCAGCTACTTGGAAGGCTGAGGTGGAAGGATTGCCTGAGCCCAGCAGATTGAGGCTGTGGTGGCTGTAACATGCCACTACACCCCAGCCTGGGTGACAGAGTGAGACTCCAACTCAAAAAATAAAAATAAAAAATAAAATAAAATCAGCCGGGCTCGGTGGCTCAGCCTGTAATCCCACGCCTTGGGAGGCTGAGGTGAGTGGATTGTCGGAGTCCGCGGGTTCGAGACCAGTCTGGGCAACTTGGTGAGCCCTCATCTCCACAATAAATCAAAAAATCAGCCGGGTGTGGTAGCGCATACCTGTAATTCTGGCTACTCAGAAGGCTGAGGTGGAAGGATTGCCGGAGCCCAGCAGGTCAAGGCTGCGGTGGCCAGGAGCGGCCACTGCACTCCAGTCTGGGCAACAGTGAGACTCCAACTCAAAGAAAATAAAAATAAAAATAAAATAAAATCCAGAACCTTAAGAGGAAAGGAATTAACAGACATAGGAGTCTCTCAAGCTTCAAGAGAGATTAAAAAAAAAGTTCATACTGAAATAGCTTTTAGGTTCACCAATAACCAACTGCACCTAGCAGTCACTAAAGTCCACCGAAAGAGGAACTTCCTGTAAGCAAGAATAGCTGAGTACCAAATCAGAAAAGTGAAAGAGAGCATGGTGAATGGAGAACCTTGTCACCAAAGGTGAGCTTCATCTGAGCTCTGAGTTTCAGGGGCTTGGGAGATCCCTGACTTTTCTGGTTTCTATGAGTATTCCTGCTAGGGGAGGTCTGGCAGAAGGACCCTGGGTGACAGGGCGACCCATTCTTGCCCCTGGCTATTAGGGATCCCTAAAGTCTTCCATGTGCCTTCGGGAGCTGGAGGGATTTCATTCCCACAAGAGCCCTTTGGCTAGAGAAGCCCTGGGAACCCCAAGCAGAGACGAGAATTCCTGGGAGGGAGTGGAGCTCAGAATAGCAATGTTGTTCCAGCATAGGACAAGGAGAGGGACCTGAGGGAGGGAGCAAAGGAAGGGCACCAGCATGCCAGCTTCCAGCTGAGGTCTGCCCTGGGGGCATGAGAAGAGCACCCTCAGTCCCAAGGGCCCTGGAGAGCCTTCCATTTCTGCCTGCTGGCCTTTGGAGACTGCTGGCTGCCTAGGGACGCAAAGAGGTTAGGGTGCTTAGGGGTTAACTGCTTTATCACCTGGGGTGTGTCACCCCAACTAAGCTGGGTGGAGAGAAGCTTCTGCACATGCTCGTCAGGTCCCACAGGTTCCCACCCTCTTACATATGTTCAGGCCTCTCACTGACAGGAAGTTCTTCTTTAGATCTGATCTATGTCATATTTGCTATAACCAAAAACCGTTTCCCCAGAGAAGTTAATCCCCAAAATTAGACACAGGAGCAGCTTCTGACTGTGACCAGTTACTAATCTCCATGCCCCCCCGCCCCAGTCATTTGATGGGGTTGGTCATAAACACTTGCTTAAAACCCAGGACTTCATGCTGAAGGCTTTAGAGACAACCGATTCTGGATTAAAATATAGCTCTTTCTGGCTGGATAGCCTCAGATAAATGACTTAACCTCTCTGAGCTTTAGTGTCTGGTACACAAACATTTAAGCAATAGCAACTAGTATTATTTTATTATAATCACTGTTTATAAAAATGCATACCACAGAGCAAGCACCATACAAGTGAATGTTAAATAAACTGTTAGGGTAGGAGGCTTGGAATAAGGGAAAGGGAGTATGTAGGAGTGTCTGTTTTATGTTTTTAAAGATCCACAAGGAAGAACAAATACCTGCCTTTCACACTCCTTGAGGCAAATCACCATCTTGATGGAAGTGCTCTCTACTGTGTCTAACCTGACTCCTTCCTGCTGCAGCTGAAACCTAAATTTGCCAAGACCAGCTGGTTCTCCCACTTCAATCCTGCCATCTACCTGGTCTCTGGGCTTGCTCCTATCACAGTCCCCCTCCCATCCAGTCCCAAGGGGAAAGTTTCACTTACTGCTTGGATCCAGAGTCTTGCTCACAGCGCCCATCCCAGGGGCAGGCGGAGGTGTCGGCGCCAGCTGGGTGCCATCCACCCTTCTCCCCTGCCAGGGCTAGCAGGGCTACCCCAGGCTGGGGGCTGTGCTGCCGCAGCTGGCCAGGAGCCCCACCTCGCATCGGGTGGGCTTCAGGGAGAAAAGGGAGGGCCACGTCAAAGCCAGGCCGGAAAGAGTCCACCATGGGGCTGGACTTGGCCACCATAGCCTGCCCCAGCTGGTAGGTCCAGGGGCAGGGGGCTGGGTGCAGGCAGAGAACCAGATGGTTCCTGCCCCTGTTCCACCACGGAGGCACCGGGCTGCACTCTTCAGCTGGGGCGTCCGGGCTGAGGAGGAGGAGGAGGCAGGCCTCAGTGGGGCTGGACGTGTGGTAACGGGAGCCCTCAATGGAAGCCAGGATCCTGCGATGAGTCTCAGAGATGGGTCCAGCCGCTGGGTACACGAATACCTTGAGGCCATCACCCCTGCACCTCGAGGTGTCAAAGCAGGCTCCCCAGTTGCAGCTGCCACTACGAGGGGCTTGAGGAGGTTGAGGGGCATCTTCTGGGAGCTTCCCAGGCTGGGAGAAACTCTGCAAGAGCTCTGCGTCCAGCCAGTGGGGCCAGCCTTGGGGGGCCACTGACCGAGGTCTGGGGGGCACTGCCACGCGGAGAAGGGGGAAGCCTCCCAGGAGGACCAGGAGAAGCCAGGAGGCTGATAGTGCCAGCCAGAGGGACGTTCTTCTCCACGACTGCATGTGGCCACCCACAGCCAGGACTGGGGATGCTGGGAGGCCTCTGCCAGGAGCAGGAAGAGCAGGGCCCTGGGGTGGGAGAAAAGTCGACCGGTCTTCTAATAATCCAGCGCTCTCATTGTACAGATGGGAAGACCGAGGCCCATCGGGAGCAGGCTGTCTGCCTGAGGTCAAACAGCGAGTCACCAGCCAGACATGAGGCAGCCAGGCAGCACCCAGCTTGCTGGACTTGCCTTCCTGCGCTCAGAACTCTGCTTGCTCGCCCTTTGGACAACCAAGTTAAACTTCTTCCTCCTAGCAGGGCCCCCAGTCCCTGGGCTAGACTCAGGCTGATGCAACCCCTGCCCAGGAGGCAAGGCCGTGTCCCTCTACCCTCCTGGTTGCACCCCCTGACCTTGCCCTCAACTGAGAGGAGGGCTGTCAGCCAGGCCATAGGGGACCAGCTGGGATCCCTCAGGGGCAACGTGGCCAGGGACAGCCTGGAGGGAAGCAGGGCTGGTCTTCCCACTCTTCCTCTTGCCTGAGCAGCCCTGGCCACCCCGGTGCCCGCTGGCAGCCACTCCTGGGCTGTAAGCCTTGTGGCTGGAGCTAAAATTAGACCTTGCACCCCATGTGGGCCATCAGAGTCAGCTGAGGTCAGAGCCTGGGTGCAGCCGATGTCCCCTGCCTGGGGTCCCTTCCACCCTGCCGCTGCCCCCAGCTCAGACAGCCCAGCCCCTCCTTCCCCAGCCCAGCAGCCACCCTGCACCCTCTGGCTTGGAGTTATCACGGTGTAGAGGCCAGGGTCGTTGCGCCAAGCCCCCCAATCCCTGCTGGAGTCTCCTCCAGTCTCTCTCCAGGCGGCATCTGGCGGGTCTAGATCTCTCTCCTAGCAGCAGCCTGGCTCGGGCTCCTGGCTCCTCCCCTGCCAGCCCTGATTTGCTCCTGGCTGGGAGGCAGGGTCTCCACTTAACCCCTTCCAAACCAGTTTCCTCAATTGTTAAAAATATGAACCAGCGGGTACCACACCTTGCAGTTGGCCATGAGCCATCACAGCCTCTGTCTCTCTAAATCCTCCAGCAACCCTCCAAGGCAGAGGTTTATCTGTCGTTTTTTACAGATGAGAAAAGTGATACTCAGCTTGTGACCCAGCTAAAAAGTAGCAGGGTGGGGATCTTTACCCTGAGCTTCCGACCATGGGTGCAGATAAAGAAGTCAACAGATGAGATGAGTGAGGAGTTCGGGTGGGGAAATTGGGCAAGGAGGCCCCACCTGGCTGGGCACGGTGGCTCAAGCCTGTAATCCCAGCACTTTGGGAGGCCGAGGTGAGAGGATTATCTGAGCCCAGGGGTTCAAGACCAATCTGGGCACCTTGGTGAGACCTTGGCTCTACAATAAATAAAAAAACTAGCCAGGTGTGGTAGCGCACGCCTGTAATTCCAGCTACTTGGAAGGCTGAGGAGGAAGGATTGCCTGAGCCCAGTAAGTCGAGGCTGCGGTGACCAGAAGCATGCCACTGCACTCCAGTCGGGGCGATAGAGTGAGACTTCGACTCAAAAAAAAAAAAAAAAAAAGATGGCCCCACCTGACCCCAAGAGTGGTCCCTCTGCCTCCAGCACCACCATGCCCAATCGCCCAGTTTCTTGCTCCAGTCCATAAGGGAAGTTCTTCCTGCTCTTGCCTCTCTTAGTCCACATCCCACTGCCGGAGTCCCTTAGTCAGTTCCTTGGTCTGTGCTCTGTGAGGGAAGTCAGGAGTGGGTGATGTCATCCATGGAGGAATGTCTGGGGAGATGGAGGAGATACACACGCTGGCTACCAGGAAGCCCAGGCTGATGAGGGAGGCCACAGGGAGGCAGCAGACTTGGAGAGGGTACCTCTTATCTCTCAAATGAACACAATATCAGCTGTGAGATGATTGCCTAATCAACCCCAGACTCATCCCCGGGGGGTCCTTCCACAAGTGGTGGCCTCCTTCCCTGGCTTTCCTTCCCTGATCTCGAAGGCTGCTCACCAGATGAGGTAGTCATCATGGCAACATGATGCCCTTGGTGAGTAACCAACCAATCTGAGGGTGGGCACAATTCATTCACCCGATTGTCCCCAGAATGGCCAACGAAGGGGAAACCGGCCTCTTGGCACTGATGGGTAAGTCACCCTGTGATGGACTGCTACCCCAGCACATATCAGGTTCGCCGTGCTCGTCCCTCCCGCTTGGCAAGCTCCTCCTAACTCCTCCCCACCCTGCAGGAGTTAGTTGAGTGCTCCCGCCTCCAGGAGGCTTCTCCAGTGCTCCTCCTCAGATTCTCATGCCATTTCTTCATGGCTCTGTCCCCACATACATTCATTCATCTAACAAGTACTTGGGAGTGTGATCTCTGGGCTAGGTTCTGTGCCAGGCACCACAACACTGAGGAAGAGGAATAGCCAACATTCTCACAGATCACACTTTCTTTCTTTTTTTTTTTTTTTTGAGTTGGAGTCTCACTCTGTCCCCTAGACTGGA